AAATGGTTAATTTATGCCTTCCAAAGAAAACCATCGACATGGGACCAGGTTTGTTCCACTCTACGAATTTTTTGCGATTTTTCCACCAAGTTTGATGAAAAACGATTGTGCCGTTTCGGCTGCCCAGAATAGACAGACAGACAGACACACCAGGGACGGATTAAGCTTAATAGGGGCCTGAGGCACAGATCAACTTGGGGCCCCCTACCCTCAAGGTATATATATATATATATAGCAAGAACAAAATATACCAAAATAACACATTCAATGTTCGTAAGAGACAGAAAATTGAGATGTTGCTAGGACATCGTTGAACGAAGTTCATGTTTTATATGCTTCAACGTCGAGAATGTTTGGATTTGGGAGCCCCTTAGAGTCGGGGGGCCTGAGGCCAGTGCCTCAAGGTTAATCCGGCACTGAGACACACGGCGAGTCCTATAGTATATTAGATTAGATACGAACATTATGGACGACAGTTCAGAACGAGACGCCTCTTCCAACCACCTTACTCAGCGATCAGGAACCACATCCACGAGCATGACCGTCCCATATTACACTCCTCACTCAATGTCCGCTCCAGACGGAGCCAAGACATGGAGCTGTACATACCTCCTCACGAAGGCAGAAAAATCAACCATATCCAGGATTGAACAGTCAGTTGTGTGAACATCCCTCGTCAGAGTTGGGCCCCTTGTATCCCTCTAGTGGTCGGCCCCTTCAGTCTAGAGTGGTCGGCCCTTGTATCCCTCGTCTAGAGTGGTTGTATCCCCTCGTCTAGCCCCTTGTATCCCTCGTCGAGTGGTCGGCCTCCCTCGTCTAGAGTGGTCGGCCCTTGTATCCCTCGTCTAGGTGGTCCCCCTCGTCTCCCCCGTCTAGAGGGTCCCCTCGTCTAGAGTGGTCGGCCTTGTATCCCTCGTCTAAGTATCCCTCTAGAGTGGTGGCCTAGGTGGTCGGCCCTGCATCCCTCGTCTAGAGTGGTCGGCCATCCCCCGAGAGAGTGGTCGGCCCCTTGTATCCCTCGTCTAGAGTGGTCGGCCTTGTATCCCTCGTCTAGAGTGTGGTCGGTCTCCCCTTGTATCCCTCGTCTAGAGTGGTCGGCCCTTGTATCCCTCGTCTAGAGTGGTCGGCCTTGGTCTAGAGTCCTTGTATCCCTCGTCTAGAGTGGTCGGCCCCTTGTATCCCTCGTCTGATGGTCGGCCTTGTATCCCTCGTCCATCCTCGTCTAGAGTGGTCGGGCCATCCCTCGTCTAGAGTGGTCGGTATCCCTCGTCTAGAGTGGTCCCCTCGTCTAGAGTGGCAGTGGTTCGGTGATCCCTCGTTGGTCGGCCCTTGTATCCCTCGTCTAGTGTGTCTCGGCCCCTTGTATCCCTCGTCTAGAGTGGTCGGCCTTGTATCCCTCGTCTAGGTGGTCCCCTTGTAGTCCAGTGTCGGGTCTAGAGTGGTCGCCTTGTATCCCTCGTCTAGGTGGTCGGCCTAGTCTAGTAGGCGGCCTTGTATCCCTCGTCTAGAGTGGAGCCGTATCCCTCGTCTAGATCAGAGTCGGCCCCCTCGTCTAGAGATCCCTCGAGAGTGGTCTCAACATCCCTCGTCTAGAGTCCGGCCTCAGTATCCCTCGTCTAGAGTGGTCGGCCCTTGTATCCCTCGTCTAGAGTGGTCTTATCCCTCGTCTATGGTCGGCCCTTGTATCCCTCGTCTAGAGTGGTCGGCCCCTCCCTCGTCTAGAGATCCCTCGTCTAAGTGGTCGGCCCCGTCTAGGTGGTCGGTTCCCTGTAGAGTAACAGAGTGGTCGGCCCTCATATCCTCGTCTAGAGGGTCGGCCCCCCTCGGATCCCAGATAACGGCCCCGGAAGTGGATTTGTATCCCTGGAGTGGTCGGCCTTGTATCCCTGTCTAGAGTGAGTCGTCGAAGTAGTATCCCCTTGTATCCCTGAAGTGGTGGTCGGCCCCTAGAGTGGTTTGGGCCCTTGTATCCCTGTCTAGGAGTGTGGACGGCCCTTGTATCCCTTCCTAGAGTGGTCGGCCCCTTGTATCCCCTGCCCAGAGTGGTCGGCCCCTTGTGTCTAGAGTGGTCTGTCTAGAGTGGTCATCCCTCGGGACAAGATGTGGTCCCACATCCCTGTCTAGAGTGGTCGGCCCTTGGGATCCCTGTGGTCTAGGTGGTTCCCTTGAGTGGTCGGCCCCTTTCCCTCGTCTAGAGTGGTTGTATCCCTGTCCCCTTGTATAGATATCCCTGTCGGATATATCCATATATCGTCTAGAGTGGTCGGCCCCTTGTATCCCTCGTCTATATATCCCTCGTCTAGAGTGGTCGGCCCTTGTATCCCTCTAGGGTTCCCTTGTATCCCTGTCCAGAGTGGTTGGCCCCTTGGTCTAGAGTGGTCGGCCCCTTGTATCCCCGTCTAGAGTGGTCGGCCCCTTATCCCTGTCTAGAGTGGTCTATCCCTTGTATCCCTGTCTAGGTGGACCTGGTCTCACCCTCCTCTGTACATATACACCTTGATTTGTATTTCTCTCTCTAGTCTGTACTCACCCCTGAAGATGTGAATTACACGAAAGCGCTTGGGAACTTCGTGTTTTCTTCTTTCCTTGTGGTTATCAGCATATATATACTGTATATATATATATATATATATATATATATATATATATATATATATATATATATATATATATATATATATATATATATATATATATACTGTATATATATATAACAAAGTACTTTAAGACAGTACAATAATTAAAATCGCTGATAATTTAATAGCCGACAGACAACGACTATACCATGTAACCATTTTTATTGTTATCGTGTGACTGGTGTTATGCCATGTATGGCACACAGACGAAGTTATTTATAGCCTGGATGAAGACGTAAGTCATGACTCAGGTTCACAAGCATCATGGTGTGAGGGCCATGACAGCTAGATGGTGTTGTATGATTTATATATACCTCATACAACACCATCAGTCAATATGCGCTACGTAGTAAATATGGCGGCGGCACCACGATCACCTGAACAACACCCAAAATATACTGTATGCTATTGATGCCCAAAATAAACCCTTTGTGTGACACCGTAATAACTCATAGTTTATTGATGATCATTACACAAACAAAAGACCATTTACTCTGTGTAATTTGTTTTAACAGTTGTGTGCATGATGAACGAAGCCAACATTATAGTGTCATGGTGGCGTCGTTTACTGAACGTATGACAATATTTATGTGCGCGTCTCGGTACGCCTGGACACCTCACTTGACGTACGATGGCTTTATTTCCCTAGAATCTGTGGGTCTACCTATTACATAATACACTACCGACCCCAAGCGCCCATTACCCTTTGCGCGTCTCCGCCACCTTGAGAAATTTCCGCTTGACGTCTGCTTCAGTCTCTTATATGAGGTGTTCGCGTGTAATTCGTCGCCGTTCAATGTGTTACCTGGCGAAGGAAGCAACACAGAGTGGAGGTCCTCACTAACTTGTCTCAGGAAGATCCTCAGCTCACTAACATGACTCGGGATGATCCTCAGCTCACTAACATGACTCAGGAAGATCCTCAGCTCACTAACTTGTCTCAGGAAGATCCTCAGCTCACTAACATGACTCGGGATGATCCTCAGCTCACTAACATGACTCAGGAAGATCCTCAGCTCACTAACTTGTCTCAGGAAGATCCTCAGCTCACTAACTTGTCTCAGGAAGATCCTCAGCTCACTAACATGACTCGGGATGATCCTCAGCTCACTAACTTAACTCGGGATGATCCTCAGCTCACTAACATGACTCAGGAAGATCCTCAGCTCACTAACTTGTCTCAGGAAGAAAGATCCTCAGACTTGTCTCCTCAGCTCACTAACATCACTCGGGAAGATCCTCAGCTCACTAACATGACTCAGGAAGATCCTCGGCTCACTAACATCACTCGGGAAGATCCTCGGCTCACTAACATGACCCAGGAAGATCCTCGGCTCACTAACATGACCCAGGAAGATCCTCGGCTCACCATGACCCAGGAAGATCCTCGGCTCACAAACATGACCCAGGAAGATCCTCGGCTCACAAACATGACCCAGGAAGATCCTCGGCTCACAAACATGACCCAGGAAGATCCTCGGCTCACAAACATGACCCAGGAAGATCCTCAGCTCACAAACATGACCCAGGAAGATCCTCGGCTCACAAACATGACCCAGGAAGATCCTCGGCTCACAAACATGACCCAGGAAGATCCTCGGCTCACAAACATGACCCAGGAATATCCTCGGCTCACAAACATGACCCTGAAGATCCTCGCCTACAAACATGACTCCAGGAAGATCCTCGGCTCACAAACATGACCCAGGAAGATCCTCGGCTCACCAACATGACCCAGATGATCCTCGGCTCACCAACATGAAAAAGATCCTCGGCTCACTCAACATGACCCAGGAAGATCCTCGAAGATCCTCGGCTAACATGACCCAGGAAGATCCTCGGCTCACTAACATGACCCACTAACATGACTTGACTCAGCTCACTAACATGACTCGAGAAGATCTCAGCTCACTAACATGACTCAAGAGAAGATCAGCTCACTAACATGACCCAGGAAGATCCTCGGCTCACTAACAACATGACTCGAGAAGATCATCGACTCACTAACTTGACTCTGGAAGATCCTCAGCTCTAACATCACTCTCACTAACATCACTGGGACCAGATCCAGGAAGATCCTCGGCTCACAAACATGACCCAGGAAGATCCTCGGCTCACAAACATGACCCAGGAAGCATCCTTCGGCTCACTAACATGACCCAGGAAGATCCTCGGCTCACTAACATGACCCAGGAAGATCTCGGCTCACAAACATGACCCAGGAAGATCCTCGGCTCACAAACATGACCCAGGAAGCATCCTCGGCCATTCACCAAGATCCCTCGGCCCAACCATGTCCTCGGATCACTAACATGACCCAAAAAGATCCTCGGCTCACTAACATGACCCAGGAAGATCCTCGGCTCACCAACATGACCCAGGAAGGATCCTCGGCTCACTAACATGACCCAGGAAGATCCTCGGCTCACTAGGACATGCCCGAGATCTCAGCTCACTAACTTGACTCTGAGAAGATCTCAGCTCACTAACATGACCCAGGAAGATCCTCGGCTCACTAACATGACTCGAGAAGATCCTCAGCTCACTAACATGACTCAGAAAGATCCTCAGCTCACTAACTTGACTCGGGAAGATCATCGACTCACTAACTTGACTCTGGAAGATCCTCAGCTCGCTATATTGACTCACTAAGATCTTCGGCTGACTAGCTTGACTCACTAGGATCCTCGGCTCACTAACTTGACTCCGTGAGACTTTCGGCTCACTAACTTGACTCAATAGGATTCTCGGCTCAATAACCTCACTTAATGGGATCCTCGGCTCACTAACTTGACCCATTAAGATCTTCGGCTCACTAACTTGGCCCATTAAGATCATCGGCTCACTAACTTGACCCATTAAGATCATCGGCTCACTAACTTGACCCATTAAAAATCCTCGGCCTGTACTAACTTGACCCAATAAGATCATCACCACCAACTTGACCCACAAAATCCCTCGGCTCACTCAACTTGACCCATTAAGATCCCTCAGCTCACTAGCTTGACCCATTAAGATCCTCAGCTCACTAACTTGACCCATTAAAATCCTCGGCTCACTAACTTGACCCAATAAGATCATCGGCTCAATAACTTGACCCATTAAGATCCTCAGCTCAGTAACTTGACCCATTAAGATCCTCAGCTCACTAGCTTGACCCATTAAGATCCTCAGCTCACTAACTTGACCCATTAAGATCCTCGGCTCACTAACTTGACCCAATAAGATCATCGGCTCACTAACTTGACCCATTAAGATCCTCAGCTCAGTAGCTTGACCCAGTAAGATCCTCGGCTCACTAACTTGACTAATTAAGATCCTCTGCTAACTTGACCCATTAAGATCCTCCGCTAACTTGACCCAGTAAGATCCTCCGCTAACTTGACCCATTAAGATCCTCCGCTAACTTGACCCATTAAGATCCTCCGCTAACTTGACCCATTAAGATCCTCCGCTAACTTGACCCATTAAGATCCTCCGCTAACTTGACCCATTAAGATCGTCCGCTAACTTGACCCATTAAGATCCTCCGCTAACTTGACCCATTAAGATCCTCCGCTAACTTGACCCATTAAGATCCTCCGCTAACTTGACCCATTAAGATCCTCGGATCATTAAATTGACTCAGTAAGATCCTCGGCTTACAAAAGATAAGAGTACTTGAGCTTTTAATCTTTTCGTTTCACTACTTTATTCTGCTCACTAAGATGCTCGGCTCACTAGAATGCTCGGCTCACTATGATGCTCGGCTCACTATGATGCTCGGCTCACTATGATGCTCGGCTCACTATGATGCTCGGCTCACTATGATGCTCGGCTCACTAGGCTGCTCGGCTCACTGGGCAAGTCGGTTCACATTACACTAATGCAGGACAACACCACAAGCACTTCGTCTTTACCTACCCCTTGTTGAACACATCCAGTCCGGTTCCCTGCGCGAGATACAACACTGAATTCATCTCGACTCCTGGCTGCTGTTTCCTTAAGTCTTCATATTTTCGTTAATTCTCTCTTAACTATCGTATATCCTATCATGTTTTGGTCTTAATTATATAGTATTTGAGTACTGTAGTATGCTTTAGTTATGCTACACGACAGTAAGCACCAGTGCGTGTTAAAGAGTACAAGCGTAAAAATATAGCCCAGCCTATTTACCCCGCGCTTAATACTGTAAGTTCCCAGGGAATATGGTAACTTCAGAGAGGATTTTTTTTTTTATTTACACGAACTTATGACGCTTACAACAGTTTCATTTACGAATATAGTATAAGGAAAGGAGATCATGTCGTATTCTTCAGAGGCAAGGGAAAGTTTAAGTTGCGCACTGCAGATGGTCCTCAGGCGAACACTAGGCTACGTACGTCCTAAACGCTTTTACTGAACTTTTACTCAGAAATATTAGATCGTTCTCTTCCGCAGCTTGGCCCCATCGGTGGTGTTAGTGGGGCCGTGGACTGGGCGTCGTCTACATGGATTTTATGCTCTAGGTACTTACGGTGGAACCTCGGCCACTTTATATGTAAATACCTTTCGTCGATGTATGGAAATGCCTGATGAAATTTGCACTGCTGATCATTCTGATCATCTCTGAGTGTTTTGATGGCTGTAACAGCTGTCGAGGCGACGATATCTGAAGATGTCGAGGACACTGCGAGACCCTCCCACGAGGCCAAAATAAAAGAATATAGAGGCTATAAAGCTACTGTGTCGAGACTAATACAACACCTTCCACAGCTGTAGGACAACAAGGACAGCGCGGCACCTCGAGGCCGGCCGCAATAAGAGAACGTTAAGTCGAGGAACATTCGGATCTATACAAGGCCGTCAAGAGCGCGCACAAGATGCTAAAATAAAAAATAAAATGTCAAACCTAAACACCAAATTAACCCAGAACGAAGACGTCGAGAAATGCTTGGCCAGGGAAGTTAATGCAGCAACAAGGAAGAGAGTAAAGGCTAGGGTCAACTAACTATCTCTTGCCTACTGAAAGGTAAACAAAGGGTTGAACCTTACCTTAATGGCGTTGATGTAATAGAAGAGTTTCGACGATGGTGTGGTGAGAAAATGGTGGTAGTTGTGGTAGACGAGATGATGGGGTACTTGCGGCTGACAGTGTGATGGTGGTAGTTGTGGTAGACGAGATGATGGGGTACTTGCGCCTGATAGTGTGATGGTGGCAGTTGTGGTAGACGAAATGGTTAGGTACTTGCAGCGTAAGGTATAATGGTGGCAGCTGTGGTTGACACTACATGGTGCTTACAATTGTCCACATGATGGTAGCTCTGGTGGTGCGTTCAGATGCATTGATGGTAATTGTGGCAGAAGTGATGGCAGGAGCACCATTAGTGAGGATGTATTGGTGATGGCTGTGGTAGAAGCGTTGGTTGTAGGTGTGGTAGAAGCGGTGGTTGTAGTTCTGGTAGTTATTGGTTGTAGGTGTGGTAAAAGCGGTGGTTGACATTATTTTGGTATTTATTATATGGGCAGTAGAATGATAGTGACGGTGGCTATAATATCAGGTAATGATTCTGCTTTAAGCAGATCTTCAAAACAGGTTTTCTAGATTCCGCGAACACAAGAAACCTGGTTTTCATGGTCACTAGAGCACGAGAAAACCTGTTCCAGAGTGCCTGGTTACCCGGAAACCCAAAATTGGATTTTACCGCCAGAAACTTGATTCTAGAGCTAAGACCTGGTCGTGTTGAAAGTTCCAAGAGTATCGGAGTTGCCGAAGTCAGAACCAATAGAATTGGATCTTGAGGTCTTGTACAGAACGGTAGAACTGGATATTCAGTTTCGCTCATAACTAGGACACCTGGATCTTTGGATTTCCGACAGATAAGAAGTTCTGAAACATTAGAGAGGGACCAAGGGGCGCTACACAGACATTATGAGTCGTTCAGCATAAAAGGATATGGGTTAGTGAGCATGGCGAGGCAGTAGTTGCGCGGGGCGGTGGTCTGGTAGAGGCAGCCCCAGGTGATAGCCAGGAACCCGGGGTAGGGTAGTGAGTCCTCCTCATCGTCCTCGCTATACACACCCACGGACCCTCCCTCCTCCGAGGACGTGAGGGAGCCCCTGGACCCACGGGGAGGCGGCACGAAGGCCACGACCATGCTAGAAGGGCCTGAGGAGGAGGGCTGCCCCGTGCCCTCTTCCTCGATCTCCACCCTCCACGACCCTCGGCGGCCCACAGCCATCGTTGGACCATTACTCATGAGCCAGTTAAGGTCAGGTCCAGGTCGGGACAGGTCACGTCATTACGGACAACACTGGCAGACCTCCACAGGGTGAGGCGTGACACTGTAGAGGGGACTCATCTACACCGCCAAGGGCATGGCCAGGCCCTCACCGACCTACTGGCAGACGTAGTTACCTGTGGGGTGGATAAGACACTCGGGGCCAGATATACACACACACATACAGTGTCCGCCACACTCTAAGTTACTATCTGCACCCAATTGCACCTCGAGGGACAACCAGGTACATAAAAGGGTGCTCTTGATACACCTGTGGTAGCCCTGAGTTGCACAGGTGTAGGGCGCCGGGCCCAGTACACGTGCAAGGTAGAACCAGCACCAGGTGTTAAAGAAGGTACACGGGGTGGCACCAGACACACGCACCAGGTACACTGAGCCACATGGGACACACTGAGCGGTGGAGGACGCGACACTGGAGGCAGGGCGTGGGTAGACGTCCGGGGTGCGACAGAGAGCCACGCGGGCAGCAAGAGAGGAGCTGCCTACACACACCCGGACGGTCAGCCAGCCAGGCTACACTGTCTCACCTCCACCACCCACACCACGCACCACCCCGCGCACTCTCCCCGCCCTCCCTCACCTCTCCCCGCCCTTACTCACCTCTCCCCGCCCTTCCTCACCTCTCCCCGCCCTTCCTCACCTCTCCACGCCCTCACTCTTCTCTCTCCACCTTCAATCACCACCTCTCCCCCTTACTCCCTCCCTTTATATTTCCTCACTTCTCCCTTCTGCCCTTCCTCACCTCCCCCGCCCCTCCTCAGCTCCCTCCCTTCGCCCCCTCCCCGCCCCTTCCCTCACCTCCTGCCCCTCCCTCACCTCCCCCTGCCCTCCCCTCAGCTCTCCCCTGCCCTTCACTTCTCCCCTGCCCTCCCTCAGCTCTCCTGCCCTCCTGCCCTTCCCTCACCTCCTCCCCGCCCTCACCCTCCCCGCCTCCCTCAGCCTCCCTCCCCGCCCCTTCCTCACCTCCTCCCCTGCCCTCCCCTCATCTCGCCCCTGCCTACAGGTACCCCTCCACCCTCACAAACCTCTCCCCTGCTCACACACACCTCTCCCCCCGCTCACACACACCTCTGGCCCTGCCCTCACTCACCCCAACCTGGCCCTCACTCACCTCCCTCCACCCGCTACCGTCACCCCAATCCTCGGCCCTCACTCACCTCCTCCCCGCCTGCCACTGTCACCCCAACCCGGCCCTCACTCATCCGCCCACACTGTCACCCCAACCTCGGCCCTCACTCACTCTCCCCGCCCGCTACCGTCACCCCAACCCGGGTCTCACTCACCCCCAAGCAACAGTCACCCCAACTCACCTCCACACCCCCAACCCAGCCTCTTACCACCTCCGCCCACCAAACCCCATCTACCTGTTTCTCCTGCCCAAGCTACCGTCACCCCAACCCGTCTCTCACTACCTCTCCTGCCCGCTACTGTCACCCCAACCCGGCCCTCCTCACTCACTTCTCCCCGCCTGCTACTGTCACCCCAACCCGGCCCTCACTCACCTCCCCCGCCCGCTACCGTCACCCCAACCCGGCCCTCACTACCCTCCCCTGCCTGCTACTGTCACCCCAACCCGGCCTCACTCACTCTCCCCCGCCCGCTACCGTC